AGAGGGAGAAGCAGGCTCCCCGCGGAGCAGGGAGCATGATGCAGGACTCGATCCCAGGACCCTGGGATCATGACCTGAGCCGAAGGCAGACGTTTAACTGACTGAGCCACCCAGGTGCCCCTCAAATACAGTATCTATTTAACACCCAAGATCAGGCACATGTTCATGGATGGATAAATGCTGCTCATTTTATTTGTCTCATATATACATAATATGTATTTATTCTTAAGTGGGTGCATGAAAAATGTTTGATATCTTTCATTCATTCATTCACTCACTCAGTTTGAGGGCCCAGCACGATACTTGTACACAAGGAATGCATTTTTACAAATCTCTTACCTAATATGATTCGGAACCTGTCTGAGTTCTGGTCTTGCAAGTCCTCATGGTTTTCTTTCTTTGAGCTTTCCCGGCCTTTCCAATCCTTCGCTTCCTGTACAACTCTGGGCCCAAATTGGTCTGCCCCAGGATGGCTATCCAAAGGCACAGACGGGGAGAGCAAGGGACTGAGAGGTAAAGTAGCTGAAAAGGCCATGTAAAAAACTAAAGATGTATTGTATGGTGAGTAACATAACATAGTAAAAAAAAAAAAAAAAAAAAAACTTAAAAAAAAAAAAAAAGGCCATGTAGGTACTAAGATGCAGAGCCTAAGAGGGACCGTTACTCTGACTTGAACTCTATGGATTAGCCATATCCATGCAGTACATACAGAAGGCTAAAACCCTCTTTGTGACTGGGTAGAAACAAAATATACATTTTTTTTTTAGAGCAACATAAAATCATTTAAACATCAGCTCATGGAAAGCAGGGTTTTTCCCCCCCTATTGTTGATACTGTCTCTCAGAGCTAATAGGCATTTAGTTCCCAAGGAGCGTGAGCTATGTTGTCATCTAAAATTTTATTTGAAAGATACTGTACTTTACATAATTAGTTTAAGTTAAGAATCCTTTCCCCCTTATTATAGGAGTAAAAATTAATATTTATTTTTAGCTGTAAATTTTGAATACAGATGCTATCAAAATCAACTCTATCTTCGGAACATTGACTTTATAATGATCTGAAATGTAATGATTTTACTTCAAAGCTTGAATTTGCAATATACAATGATAGAGATGGCTAAATGGGAAGCAATGGTAAGGTGTTTTAGAAAGTATAGATTATGAAAGGGGGGCTCAGGAGCCCGGAGTCATCCGAATTGCCAATCTGATCAATGATTAAGAGGTGGCGACTGAGCAGGGAGGATGTAGATACAGCATGTGACAGTGAGGAGGTAGGGACTTCAGAAAGGAAGGATAGGGTCAAGGTGACAGTAGAGCTGAGTCCCAGAGCCCAGTGAGCTCTACGACTATGCTAAACACTTTGCCGTTGCAATATTAGTAAGAGTATCACGAAACAGGTGCAGGTGGGAGAGGCTTCTGGTTTTCTTGCACCATGAACTTTTCTTTCCTTCCTTAACAACAGTCAGAGCTGTGAGCTGGACCTGGAGCAGGGTGCTTCAAAGGCCACATTTCCCAGCTGCCCTTGTAGCTTGTGTGGCTATACATGTAAGTGCTGGCCAGAGAGATAAGCTGAATTACAGTGGGACTTACCTTTGTTTACTTCCTGCTGCCCGGAACGTAGTTGTGATGACTGGAACTATAGCAGCTATTGTGGATCATGAGGTCAGACATCACAGCCCGGAGATGGCCACAGAGTGAGCTGGAAACACCTGAGCCCTCAATGATCTGGGGAGGCCACCCGTGCATTTTCTTCTTCCCAGAAAAAGGAAGTAGAACTTGTGCTGTGACTGTTGCCGTCAGCTGCAACAGAAGGGATTACTACCTGGTGTTTCACATATGAGGATATGCAGATGCAGAGATGTTCCGTTACTTCACTCAAGTCACCTCGCTCGTCAGGGGGCCGCTTTCCCAGAATGATCTCCAATGTTTGTGTCTCTGCCGCGCCTCTTGCCTCATTTTGCTTAGTGCGTTCCTTTAAAAAAAAAATAGATCTCCCTCGGTTTTTTTCCCTCCATCGCCATTCCCACTTGTTGGGTTCGTGACCCGACAACTAGCGGCGGTTAAAAAGGTCGGTCGTTCTCAGCTGCGTTTCCCATCGTACGACTGAGCACTTGGACATGAATGTGTGAACACAGCCACAGCTCAGCAGCCCAGAATGCAGCCCCTGAGTTGTGAGAAGGATGGAGACCAGCATTGAGGCCCCTGACCTTGGCCAGGAGGACAAGGTCTTGCTGATGACCCGTGTCTCTGAAGTAGACACAGGATAACTACTTAATTTTAATGCCTCCTGAAAGCATTCGGTTTTCCTTGGTGGTTTACTGATGTCCACAAAGAGGAGACTGCATGCACCCGAGGACGCACAGAGCCCTCGGAGACCCTGTCCGTTGATGCAGACCCAACACTACATGGCACTGTCGCTCTGTGCTCATCACAGACTCTCCATCAGCCTGATAGCCTCCTACAGGGGCTTAGAGGGTTTCTAGGCCAAGTTATTTTCCAGAACCGTTCCGTTTTCAGGGAAATGCAAACTGTGCTTTAAACGCAGTGTTTTGCTATGGGTGTGAGCTTTTCCTAGGATTTAAATTACAGAAAAATTCCTATAATGTTTTCATGGAACTCGGGTCCTGACTGGTGTGTTTGCTGTGCGGGTTTCCCTGAAGTGACGGAGACTGTGACAGAAGTGGGGACAAAGGGAACGGAGGATGACTTGCACTCGGGCCTTCGAGCTGTGGGACGTGGAGCCGTGCCCGTGTGGTGGAGGCCAAGAAGGGCCACGCGCTCCCTGCTCCTGCTGCTCCCGAGCAACGCACACTCCTCCTCGTTCCACCTCTGCGAGAACCCACGTATCGAACATACTGGATTCTATTAATATTTATTTGTGGACCGAATAGGTTTATTTTAAAAATCAATTATTAGTCACTTGAAAGTATCATTCCTTCGCAACACTGAAGATTAATTTGACAGACAGTATATTTCCTTCCCAACCTGTTTACCAGCTGTATGAAGTGGAACGACCTCTATTTCCTTTAACCTAATTTTTTTTTTAAAAAGTTCTTGTAGCTTTTACTGGCTTCATCTTATAAGACCATTTTTAATACCCTGTTTATGGTAGATAGTCATGAACAGCTGAACACATGAATGAAAGAATGCAAACATATTGAAGGTCAGACTTGTATTTTTTACTACTGAATTTTCTATCCATATGTATGGCCTCTGAACATGCATACGATCGGGCTACGTTTTCACAGGTTCTTGCCATCAGTTTGGAACAAAAACGAGCTTTTTCAAGAGGAGCTCTTAACTAGCAAGTTGTTTTGTTTTGTTTTGTTTTCTTAAGAGATAGCATTATCATTGGCAAATGACCAAAATGTCCGAATAACAGAATAAGATCATCTCTAGAGCTGATATATGCAGATGACAAGAAAAGCTGTATGACTTTTTTGTTGTTGTTGTCTGAATTAGAATTCAGGTAATATTTTGATGGTTATATAGAGAAAATTTAACATTGACCTATTCTGGTCTATTGAGCATTTTGCATGGGTTATGGATTATTAATTCTTTCATTATTGGTATATTTCTGGGAAAGAGAACTGTGGAATACTCTATGTTACTATGTATTTGTGTAAAATCATTACTACAGACCTTAGGCTTCTATTTCTTCATGATTTGGACGTTTCACACGGATATGTAGCTCAGTCCCATCAAAGCAAAAGCCTGGCAACCAGCTCGATTTGGCTGGATGGAAATCTGCTTATCAATTCACAGTTAATCTGAAAGAGAAGATCTTATTTTTCAGCAACATTCTAAAATGCTTTGCAGTGTCTGTTTGAAAAGACACATTAGTCTTCCAGGGAATATTTTTGATATAACATACTCAGCGTTTTCTCAAACTTGAGTATCATCATTTTTGAATCAAAAATTAGAAACTCAGAAATTAAGACAACAATGTACCAATAATCTTTAGTGGAAGTAAAATGGTAGCATGGTTGTTCAACCTCTTCTTAAATTTTTTATTTATTTTAAGCTGTGTCCCTTGTATTGAGGAAAGCTCATCTATCCCTCCTCCCCTCCTGTGTTTCTTCACTTCAAATGGGAGATTCTGACCTATGTCGTGGAGAGTGCATATCTCCTTCTCTTTCTCTCTGTCTCTCCTCCCTCCCTCTATTTTGAGAATCAAGGACCAAGAACGTCCTGTTGGACATAGCTATTTGTCCTCTGTTTCATACAAGATCAGACATGCTTGCAAATACATAGTGATTCTTCAGGCCATATTTACTGCCCCTGGCCCCGCCTGCCCCCCCTACCCCCGCAGGAAACCGTTCCGATCCACATGGCTGTTTTACAGTGTGTGAGAAGGAAGAGCACAAGTGAGAAGACCAGCTGCACCCCCTCTGCTTGCATACTCTGCAGCAGAGGTTGGCAGATAATTTCCGAGAAGCACCCGGTAAGATGGCATGGTGGGACATCCAGTCTCTGTTGACGCAGCTACTCAAGTTTGCTGTTGTAGTGGAAAAGCGGCACGGCTCTATGCCAATAAAACTTGATTTACAAAAGCAGGTGGTGGGCCGCAGTTTGCCAACCTGTAACCTAGACACCAAGGAACCCCGCAAGCCTCAGTTTCCTTTTCTGTAAAATGAGAAAACGGATTATACTAGCATGATCCTCCTATCTGCTGGCATTTTCACAGAGATTAAACCAAGTAATATGGGAGCGGTTGTTTCATAAACCATTAGGCTCTGTGCCACGATACTTACAATAATTATAGCTTTCAACATCTCATTCATTCTCCTGACAAAGTATTCTGTATTCACTTCTTTCTGAACAAAACACCTGAAGATAATTCAGCCCTGCATCAAGTCTTTCTCACGAACATACATATCTCCGTGTCCACCACGAATCCAGGCACACATTGGATGCTCTGAGGTGCTTGCAGGATGAATTCACAGGCCCTGATAGTAGAGATTACCTGCTTAGGTTTTTCTTTAAGAAGCTTTCCCCCTTTAGTTCTGTAACAAGAATTGCCTGAATTCATAAACCTCGGGGCATGTTCTTCGTATGTTCCCGGAGCACATCGGTGGGTTAGGCAAAATTTGACAAGTCCTGACACATGCATAAGCTGGCCTGTTTAGGTGTGACAGTTACCGCTATGCCTTTAGAAGTGATACGAAACCATCACGGGAAGAACCAGCACAGTTTGGTTTTCTCCCCGAAGAAGATTCTGGAATCACAGAAGCTCATGGCGGTAGTTAGCAGCTTCCAGAATGCTGCCCACAAGGTGGGAAGGAGGAGATGACTTGCAGAAATCTGTAGCAAACAGCCAGAGAATTCATGGACAGCATCATTTAAAATGCAGACTTTTAAACTAGACCACGCTAGATATAAGATATTTCCACTTTTAATTTGGGGTTGAGGAATGTTTACTGCCGTTACTGTTGTTTCCAGAGATTTTGCTAGAATCAGCATGCCTGCATGAATATGTGGTTTTTGGGAATGATACAGCTCCTGAGAGCATAAATCAGGAGTCCGACGCACTGCACTTGGAGTATATGAGCTGGTATCGAGTTATGGTTATAGAGGAGCTGGTAATGGTGCAAATTTAATCAAGTCATTTGATAAGCTGTACGTTTTCCACCGTCATTTATCCAATCAGAATAAGCTAACAAGAGTGAGGAAAATTTGGAGAAGGCATTTCCAGTTCCCGGAAATGGCAGTCATTCACCCTGTGGTAAATTAGAACACTCTGCAATGTGATGAGCCAGATTGCCCTTCTTTCTCTTAAGTTGACTGAGTCAGATGAGCTCATAGGACACATGGTACATATTTTTAATTTCCCTTGATGAAAACTACACAGATTTTTACATCATTGGTGATAAAGTCTTTTGAGAATATGAATGATAATTTTGAAAGGTTTTCTTTCTTTTTTTTTTTCCTCTCTAGGTATTAACATATTCCAGAAATCCGTATCCATGCCCAGAGCAATCAGAAAAACAAAACAAAACAAAAGGAAGCTCTGGGACAAGGAGGCATGGAAGTAGATACTGTGAGGCCTTCTCAGTGCAAATCTCCCTTATTTTAAACTGTCCCCATAAGCATATATATATACACAAACACATGGGAACATGGGTGTGTCAAACACACACAAACAGATATGAATATGTGTGTGTATAATACATAGAATGTTTTTTTTTTTTTTAAAGGTTTTATTTATTTGACAGAGAGAAACACAGCTAGAGAGGGAACATAAGCAGGGGGAGTGGGAGAGGGAGAAGCAGGCTCCCCGCGGAGCAGGGAGCCTGATGCGGGGCTCGATCCCAGGACCCTGGGACCAGGACCTGAGCCGAAGGCAGACGCTTAACGACTGAGCCACCCAGGCGCCCCCATAGAATGTTATTACATGATAAGGTGTGTTATGTTCTTTGAAAAAGAATGACACTATGCAAATTATGGAGATCGGGTTTATTATAATCCAGTCTAATTCTGTTTTCTCCAACACCAAAATGCAATCCCCTCAAATTTTCAACACAGTTTCACTTTTCATGTATTTACTTTTATTCCCTTTTGGGGTGGGGGGGAGTTACGACGGCCAAAGCCATTGTAAACAGTGCAGGACTGATCATTCAGTCACTAGCTTTAGCAATAAAAATGAGTAAAAAGAGACATTAAAAAAAAGGAAAGAAAGAAAGATACCTTAGAACAAAATGAATGTATGTTTTAACCAAGTCCAGGGCATTTTATACTAACCAGTTTCTCCCTCCTCCCCCTGTCTTTGTGCTGAACAGAACAGCTTTGGTTCTCCTACATTGCATTCCAGATGTTCAGGGGAAACTTAGCATCGCAGAATTCTCCACTACAGATTGTTTTGTGAGGGGTTCTCACCCATTATCGGACCGTGTGTTTTCTCTATCAACTGAAGGATATTTCCAATCCCAGATACAGCTTGGAGAATTCGTACTTCGGTTCTGTGTGTGTCTGTGTGTGTCTCTGCTGATGATGTCAATGCTGTCCGTTCAAAGATGCTTGCGACTCTTGCTTTTGAAATGGATCGCATAAGGATTATCATCTTCCTGTTTCTTTAGTTGTCCTTTTTCAGCACACAATTGTACAGAAGCCTCCAGAAGGTTTTCTTAACCTGCTGTGTCCATCTGTCTCCTTGGGTATGGGTCTGAAAACACAGAACCTCTTCTGAGTTCAGTGGGTTTGTTTTGTTTTGTTTTGTTTTTTTAAATATAGTACTTCCCATTCTTTGTGGCTTTAAAACCTCATGTCTTAAACACAGGTGCCGCTTTGGAAATAGAAGGATTTTGGGTTGTTTGGCTTACTTTTGCATTTGCTACAGAAAATGCCAGCTTCTAGTTCTCATAATAAAAATGGAAATGTCCTGTGATGGTGGATGGTTTACTCAGTATCAACAGTAAACGTGGCTTTCCACTTTGATTTAATGATGAGCCCGAAACTTATTACATGTCTTCTTGTGTATGCATTCTTGTCATAAACATTTAGGTACAGTTGATGTATAATAATCTAGTTAAAGCTTTTAAACACCTGGAGAGGGGGCGCCTGCGTGGCTCAGTCGGTTAAGCATCTGCTGCCTTCGGCTCAGGTCATGATCCCAGCATCCTGGGATCAAGCCCCAAGTCGGGCTCCCTGCTCCGCGGGGGCCTGCTTCTCCCTGTGTCTCCCTCTCTCTGTCTCTCATGAATAAATAAATAAAATCTTAAAAAAACAATAAATAAACAACTGGAAAAGCTTCCTGATTCTCAGAGGCTCTCATTATATGGGTAAATGGTTTGTGTACAAAGGTTTGTACAAAACTCACCAATCTGACTGGTGATGATAGTCATTTAAGAGCATTGCCAGGGCATGGGTTCTATGAGAAGGAAAGAGTCCTGTTGAAAAGTCTGTGCTCGTCGTCCTGTGGGAGGTGCGTCATTGACATGTGCTGACAAGCGGTGTTCTTTCCACAGAAGTGGGTAGATGGAGGCCTCACGAACAGCCTTCCCATCCTGCCCGTGGGCCGGACGGTGACGATCTCGCCCTTCAGTGGACGACTGGACATCTCCCCACGGGACAGAGGGCAGCTGGATCTCTATGTTACTGTCGCCAATCAGGACATAATGGTGAGTCAGAGGTTCCGTTACAGTTGAAGATCATCGCCCAAAAACTGCCAGAACTTTGGAAACTCGTCGACAGTTTTATATACAAATGGCATCTTGTCAGCCGTACGGTTTTTTACTAGTTTACAACACGTCATGCACGTGGGCCTGGGGGTCCCCATATGCTGTGAGGGCACAAGCCGTTCACTATCTATTATCTGTTCGGGAGAAGTTCGCTTTGTCTTCACTCCTTCAGGACACGGAACGTATGGCAGGTTTTCAGTGCAGTTTTCAGTCGGATCATTTATTTGTTTTAAAAAATGGTGATCTGGGTGCCTGGGTGGCTCAGTTGGTTAAGCGACTGCCTTCAGCTCAGGTCATGATCCTGGAGTCCCGGGATCGAGTCCCGCATCGGGCTCCCTGCTGCTCGGCGGGGAGTCTGCTTCTCCCTCTCCCGCTCCCCGTCTTGTGCTCTTTCTCTCTCTCACTCTCTCTCTCAAATAAATAAATAAAATCTTTAAAAAAAAATAAAAAAAATAAAAAAATGGTGATCGTTAAGGATGGCAAAATATGGGAGAAAAACTTAGGGCCTCGACTGAGTAAGTTACATAAAATACGGACTCCCTTACATCTACCCCCTGTGGTCGCCAGCAGGAGGTGAAGTTACAGATGGAGATGTGTGTGGTTGTCACATCGGGGGGTGTTACTGGTATCCAGTACGTAAGGGTGAGGGACGCTGCTCGGCATCCTGCGATGCACCACACAGCCCCCACGACAAACGAGCATCTGGCCCCGATGTCCACGGTCCCGAGGCTGAGAAACCCTCAGCTCGCCCGTGGCTGAAGTTAAACCTTTAAGGTTCGATTTTCTCAAACTGTTTTTTTTTTTTTAATATTTTATTTATTTATTTGACAGAGACACAGCGAGAGAGGGAACACAAGCAGGGGGAGTGGGAGAGGGAGAAGCAGGCTTCCCGCCGAGCAGGGAGCCCAATGCGGGGCTGGATCCCTGGACCCTGGGATCATGACCTGAGCCGAAGGCAGCCGCTTAACCGACTGAGCCACCCAGGCGCCCCTCAAACTGGTTTTGTAAAATCAGGATTTGTGTCTATGATGAGAAATCTTAGGTTACATTTGCCTGAACTGTAAGGTCCTATGGCTTCAATTTGTTCTTCTGTCCTAGTTGTCCGTGGCAAACTTGGTGAGGCTGAGCCAAGCCCTTTTCCCACCAAGCAAGAGGAAAATGGAATCACTCTATCAACATGGGTTTGATGACACCATTCAGTTTTTACTCAAAGAAAATTGGTTTGAATAGAATGCTTACAAGTTGATAATGCAAAACAGACTTCATACTTTTTTTTTTCCTTTTTTGTCCACATAGTGGTTGATGGAGGTTTCTAATTAAATCATTAAAAAAAAAAAAAAACCTATCGGCATTCTCTATTACTAGTTTTTGTAATATTTGTGATTATTTTTACTGAGCAAGGAAATGAGAGGTGTTTTATTAGGCAGCGTCATGAAGAAGGTTGCACACAGGTCATGAGGAGTCCCTATTCAGAGAGCACTCCTGTCCTTCGGAAAATTTAGAAGGGTAAGCAATTTGGGTGAACTATGGGATGTTGAAAAAGGAGGGCCGCCCCTTCCCCTTGCTCAGAATGTGACTGCATGCTTTTCATGTGAAACATGCACGTTTGCTTGGCATACCAGTCCTACCAGGGGTGGAGGGACAAAGCTTTGCTTCTCACGGGAGGATGCCGATTGTGCCCAGTGAGCAGGCAGGGGGTGGCTGGGACGTGGTAGCCCAGAAGCCGGCATGTTTCCCTTATTCTTCAGTAGAAATTTATGCCCTCCCCACCTTCCTCCTTTGAAAACCCTAACCTCGGCCCTCCCCACCTCCCTAACGTGATTATCCGGCTTTTTAATGCTTCCCTGTTGTAAACCCTAGTCTCATTAATACTTCTCTCTGTCTCTTTCTCCACATCTCCGTCTATCTCTTTCTGCCTATGTCTTGGTTTCTCCCTCTCTGTTCCTCCAAGGCCATACACCATCAGATGATTAGCCATTAGCTATGCACTGGATATATCTACTCCAGGAACCCAGACAATATACCACTACAAATGAAGAACGCAATCAACCAAGTAGCCCAGTAAATACGAATTCAATCCAAAATAATCATCCAGCTATTATTTTAAGTCATGCTATACTGATTTAGCTCTTCCCTTTCTGAGTCGCAATCCTATCACTTTTGAGGACTTGTATGTGGGTTTATACTAATTCGTGGACACTGTCTCAAGTCTTAAATCTATTTTTGTGGGGCTTTGCCAAGCATAAACTCTTAATTACTAAGAGGCAGTTAGAAACAAACCAGTTTCATTGCTTGTCTTTCTTTAATTGTTACGCATTTTTCTTTTAACATTTGAAACCATTCTTTAAATCAGTTTTATGGCTCTTAAAAGCTCCAAATACACAATTTTCAGCACAAAACCACCAACGATTGCCTCTTTTCTTATGAGTTATGCAGAGACTCGTGATAGGGTAGTGATACTCCTTGGGGTATATACTTCTTGTTACTCTAGAAAACAGGTAATTGAATCTTCATACATTCTTTTATACGTGACATCAACATTTTCAGTTTAGAACATCTGTGCTCACTAGATTTCCCCCCATTTATCATTTTATGTGCCTATCCTATTTCTATGATATTTCAATACATTTTTAATGGATGTCTCCCCTCAGCAAAAACAAATGTTAGTATGTTAGATACCTAAGCTACTGTTCCTACTGCTTACATCTTTGACCACGTTGGTGGACAATACTTCCCTTGAAAACCACGGTAAGCTCACGCACAGGTGGGTGTGCAGTTCAGCCGTGATGTCCCACGAGGGAAAAGCGGCAGTAAACTGCAGTGTCTAGTTTCCACGAGCCAGGGGTGCTGGACTGAGTTCTCAAGCGGGGCGGGTCACAACGCATGCTCTGTGGCACTCAGAATGCGTCCTCATGCATCCATACTGATGGAAACCAGGCATTCCCAACAGACCCGGATCCTGATAGTTTTGCTGGGTGATTACTGTGATTGTCAGCCTGAGAAGTGCCTGATCCCCTGTCCGGGCAGTTTCCTAATGCCTTTGAATCTGTCATTTAAAATTTCATTAGTCTTTCTATTTTTCTTTTCAGTAACACTCTTTACGTTGTAACTATGGTAACCCACTGATCCCACTGACAATTAGAGAAACTAGATTTGGTTTTGAAGTTAAATAATGCTCTAAAGGAGCAAGTAGTATATTAAAAAAAAAAAAAACAAACCCTCTGTTACATTCTGGTTTCACAATATTGGATGTATTGTGTGGGCACCAGGAGCTTGCAAAGAAACAGCGGTATGGCTCTGGGCATTGAACTAGGAGTCCAAACACACCAGGGCACTTATAATGGGCAGATTTGGATACTCTTAATTTTTTTTTTCTGATGGTTAAAACAGATACATATAAAAACTTTCCCTTTTTATATTTGTAAATATTAATCACAGAAAGTTTTTGGATCCAGTCCATTAATTTTATAGTTGAGGAACCAATAACTGACCAAGTTCACGGTTTTGAGGTTTTTCTTGCCTAAGCTCTATCTGCACTATGGCAAAATAAAATTGAAAGTTGCAGTAATTATCCACATAACTCAAAGCGGGAGGAAAAGCAACCTCTGCAGGCCACAAAAAGTGGAGACATTTTTAAACAACAACAATAATAATTACTAATGATTAGTAGCAATTACTGATAATTACTAGTAATTACTATTAATTACTATTATTATTATTATTTGCAGATCGACAGTTCAGTTGGGCTGAATTCACCATGCAATTACTCAGATTTGCCCTCAGTTTTGCCTCTGGTGACACAGCTGAAAGCTTTGCTTAGTCAGCACTAATACGTAGATTTATATATTCCTGACATTTGTCCCTTCAGTATAACTCCTCATGCACTTGACTGACTTCAAGAGGGGTCAAAATAGGATTCAATCTTTTCCACACTGTAGACAGTATTTCCGAATATGCATTCCTCCACTCCTGATCATAATAGCATACCCAGCGCAATCTGGAAATAAGGTGACGTTACGTGGTGAGAACCACGAATGTGCACAAGCATCGTTAAACGTACATCTGTACGCAGGCATGCATATAAAGCCCCCGGAAGTACACGGCGTGGACCTCTGATCCACGCAGAGACGACGCGTTTACTTACTGAATTCTTTCATTTACTTACTGTGAATTTTTCATTTACGTACCATGTTTACAAATGTCCTTTAGGATGTGCACAGTCAAATTAACTTTTGTGGGCAGACCAAGGAAAGTGCAAGTCGTGATACCATCCACGTGTTTTGGAAAGCCACAAAGTTCGAGCCAGTGCAGGAACATAGCCTTCTCCTGATGGGTTCCGCAGCTTTGCCGTATGATTTTGCAGCTGTGGGCAAGTTCACGGCTGCCAGCCGGCCCTGACTCATAGGCTGTGGTCTGTAGGCTGAGAGGCTCCGTGCATTTAGACACGTGCACAATCCCATCCTGAAAAGTGCAGGTCAGACGACATGCTCTACCTCCCAAGACTGGGACTGAGCCATACAGAGGTTCTGTAGGACATACGTGTGGGCTCCTGCCTTCATGCAGCTCTCCTGATCAACTAGGAAATGGAGATGCAAGAAATTCAGGCCACACCAGCAGTGTGAAAGGGCCAGGAAGCTTGAGGGGAGTGCAGGGTTGCCACGTTGCCTTTGGTCACAAAGCGAGCAGAGACCATACAGACATACCGGTGTCCGCTGCTAGCCACGGAGACACGCTGGTATCCACTGCTGGCCACGGAGACGTGCCGATATCTGTTGCTGGCCACGGAGATGCACCGGTATCCACTGCTGGCCATGGAAACGCACCGGTATCCACTGCTGGCAACAGAGACATACCGCTATCCACTGCTTGCCACGGAGACATACCGCTATCCACTGCTGGCCACGGAGACGCACCGGTATCAACTGCTGGCCACGGAGATGCGCCGATATCCGCTGCTGGCCACGGAGATATTCCGGTATCCACTGCTGACCACGGAGGCATACTGCTATCCACTGCTGGCCACGGAGACGCGCCGGTGTCTGCTGCTGGCCACGGAGACGCACCGGTGTCCGCTGCTGGCCACGGAGATGTGCCGGTGTCCGCTGCTGGCCACGGAGACGTACCGCTATCCACTGCTGACCACAGAGACATACCGCTATCCACTGCTGGCCACGGAGAAGCGCCGGTGTCTGCTGCTGGCCACGGAGACGCCCGGTGTCCGCTGCTGGCCATGGAGACGTACCGCTGTCCACTGCTGGCCACGGAGACATACCGCTATCCACTGCTGACCACGGAGATGCGCCAGTGTCCGCTGCTGGTCATGGAGACGTGCCGGTGTCCGCTGCTGGCCACGGAGACGCACAGGTATCCCCTGCTGACCATGGAGACATACTGCTATCCTCTGCTGACCGTGGAGATGCACAGGTACCTACTGCTGGCCACGGAGATGCACCGGTATGCACTGCTGACCACGGACATATACTGGTATCTACTGCTGACCACGGAGACATATGGGTATCCACTGCTAGCCAAGATGAGACCTCCACCATCACCCCCAACCCATGTCTCACCTGGGCAGCAGAGAGAAACGCTAGTTGAGAGGCTGATGGATGACACCTGTTCAAATCCAGAAGTCTCTTCAGGAAAGGGGAAAATTTGCCCAAAGAGTGATCGATCCCTGGGCTTGCTTACATGGGGGACACTTTGGTAATGGGCACCCTTCCCAGTGCCCCCAGAACATAGTTCCTGGCAAGGCTGTAGAGCTGGGAGATGAAGCTGTACTGACCAGCCTGAAGCACACATACCTGACAGTGGCCTCCATCCACGGCAGTTAGCAGGACCGGTCCCTCCTAAAGAGGGAGGGGGTGTGCTTCACCTTGCTGTTTCTGATTGCTCCTCCCACTGGCTGAACAGAATCATGGCAGTGCTGTTGACCATATCAAGGTGCGCTAGTCCCTCTGGGCTGCTAGGACAAAACACCAGACGCTGGCTGGCGTGTAGACGACAGGAATTTACTTCTCACGGTTCTAGAGGCTGCAAGTCCAAGATGAAGGCACTGGCAAGTTTGCTGTCTGCTGAGCTCCAGCTTCCTGGTTCGCACACAGCCATGTTCTCGCTGTGTCTTCACAAGGCAGAGGGGTGAGGGAGCACTTTGGGGTCTCTTTGATTAGTGCTCTTCGGTGTGGACCATGTCTCTTCAGTTTCCTTCAGTGTGGACCATTTTCTACAGTCTTTCTTTGACTTCACGACACTGGGAGGATCAGTGGGATTTTGGAGGATTATGGGTCCTTTTCTCTATTCGTTCCCTAGGATGGCCATCGCTAGGACCAC